CGAAAAAGCGAAGATCCACGATTTGGATAGCGATGGAATCAAATGTCTTCTATGGATTTTTGGCCTGAAGAGCCAAAAAGAAGCCGAAATCAGGCAGCGACTCATCGCCGTACTGGACAAGGAGTACAAGGCTGGACGAAAGATGTCGCTACAGGAGATGTACATGGAGTGCGAAAACTTTCTCAGTCTCAAGAAGGATAGCGAGACTGTAGCTGGTTGCACGAAAATTGTCGAAGCAACAAGCAAGGAGGAACCTACGAAGCTGGAATGCTGGAACTGTGGTAAAGCTCACTTTGCCAGGGAATGCAAAGCGAAGCTGTGGTATTGCAAGAAGTGCAAGAAGACAGGCCACAAGGAGAAGTATTGCGAACAAGTGACGGAGAAAAAAGCACTTGTTCAGCAAGATTCGAAACGAAGAATCCACAGAAGCAGCAATACCAGCAAAAACAGAAGTTGGACGAAACCAAAACGCCAAGTGCATAGTGTTGCGAAGATTGCGAACGCAATAATGGAGGTGAATTCGACTCGCGTATATGTGGAAGCGAAAGTTAATAGTCATCCAGTTAGTTTCTTACTGGATACAGGATCAGATATCACCTTGCTAAACGAAGCAATCTGGAGAAGCATGGGTGCTCCACTGCTGGAGGAAACAAGCGTGATCGTCAAGAACGCTAGTGGAGGCTCCATGAAAGTCCATGGAAAGCTATGGTGTGAGTACGAAATCAAAGGATCCAGAAGCGAAGGCTACGCATACGTGACGCCCCACAACTCACTGCTAGGATTAGAGTGGATCCAGAAAAACGAAGATATGTCCTATCACTTAAGCAAAATGGTTGCCGAAGTGAAGGCAGAGCAAACCAGCGACATCGCTACGAAGCTAAAGAAAACCTACCCAGAAGTCTGCGAAGAAGGTCTAGGACTCTGCACAAAAGAGAAAGCGCACTTGAGAGTTAACGAAAACGTTCGCCCAGTATTCAAGGCTTGCAGACCTGTCCCCCATCCTGCGCTCGAAGCCGTCGAAAAGGAGCTTGATAGGCTGTTGGAGCTAAGCGTCATAAGCCCAGTAACGCACAGTGAGTGGGCAGCTCCGATCGTATGCGTCAGAAAGGCCAATGGAAAGTTGAGAGTGTGCTGACTTCTTAACTGGACTCAACAAAGCGCTGGAGTCGTATGATTACCCGTTGCCATTGCCGGAGGATATATTCGCATCCCTCAATGGAGGCACGGTGTTTTCGCAGATAGATCTGTCGGACGCCTATCTGCAGATTGAGTTGTCAGACGAAGCGAAGAAAATGGTTGTAATAAATACGCATAGAGGGCTCTACCAGTACAACAGACTGCCTTTTGGAATCAAGACAGCACCAGGGATCTTCCAGCAAATCATGAACAAGATGGTGAATGGTCTACGAGGAGTAGCAACCTACCTGGACGACATCTTGGTCTGTGGACGAACAGAAGAAGAACACATGGAGAATCTGTTAGCTGTGTTTGCAAGAATCGACGAATACGGATTCAAAATTCGTCTAGAGAAGTGTTCTTTCGGTAAGCCAGAGATACGATATCTTGGCTTCGTAGTGGATCGAAATGGCAGAAGACCGAACTTAGCGAAGATCGAAGCGATCAAGAGTATGGATGAGCCGAAGAATGTCAGTCAGTTAAGAGCTTTCCTTGGCATGGTAACTTACTATGCTGCATTCATGCCAAAGATCAAGGATCTCCGTGGGCCATTGGATGCGATGCTGAAGAAGGATTCGAAGTGGGAATGGACTCGATCACATCAAGAAGCATTCGAAAAGCTCAAGAAGAGTTTGTCAAGTGAGCTGAACCTTGCTCACTATGATCCAAGGCAGAAGATTGTCGTTTCAGCGGATGCTAGCGACTATGGGATCGGATGCGTGATATCGCATAGAAATGCCGATGGATCCGAAAAGCCAATTGCACATGCATCGCGGTTTTTTACGAAAGCGGAGAAGAACTATTCGCAGATTGAAAAAGAAGCATTGGGAATTGTCTTTGCTGTCAAGAAATTCCACAAGTACATATTCGGACGAAAGTTTCTACTTCTGACGGACCATCAACCACTGCTAGCCATCTTCGGTGATAAGAAAGGAGTTCCAGTCTACTCCGCTAATCGACTCATGAGATGGGCTACAATCCTGTTGGGATATGACTTCGACATAGAGTAAGTTAAAACTACGAAGTTTGGACAAGCAGATGGTTTGTCAAGGTTGGTGAAGAAGAATCAGAATCCCGAAGAAGATGTCGTGATAGCTGCCGTTGAGAACGACGTTGGCTACATGCTGAAGAGCTGCATAAGGAAACTGCCAGTAACGGTATCTGATGTACAAACTTGGACGAAAAAAGATCCAGTACTTAGAAGAGTACTCACTTATGTGCAGAAAGGAAATTGGCCAGAAGTGAATGGAGAATTGGCACATTTTCGAAATCGAAGAGAGACATTGTCAATCGTGGAGCAATGTCTGATGTCAGCCGAAAGGGTTGTGATACCCAAGGAGCTTCGAGGAAATGTTCTGAAAGAACTGCATGTTGGACATCCAGGGATAGTAAGGATGAAGAAACTGGCTCGAAGTTACGTCTACTGGCCGAATATCGACAAAGATTGCGAAGACTTGGTACAAAGTTGTACGAAATGTCAGGAATTAGCCAAGAATCCGACGAAAGTACCATTAGAAGCATGGCCATCCGCGACTCGAGTGTGGCAGAGGATACACATCGACTTCGCTGGATCTATGCAAGGAGTCTTCTACTTGGTAGTAGTAGACGCATACAGCAAATGGCCTGAAATGATCGAGATGACCAATATCTCGGCGGCGAAGACGGTGAAGGCTTTGAAGAACTTGTTTGCGAGGTATGGATTACCGCAAACAATAGTGAGCGACAACGATACACAGTTCACGTCGGACTTGTTTAAGAAGATGTGTGACGAAGGTGGAATCACGCATATAAGGACTCCTCCGTACCACCCTCAATCGAATGGACAGGCAGAGCGTTTCGTTGATACGCTGAAACGCGGAATCAAGAAACTAGAGGGGGAGGAGAGGCCAACAGAAGAGACTCTAAATGTGGTGTTACAAGCGTACAGGACAACACCAAACACGAATTTGAACGACAAGACGCCAGCAGAATTGTTTCTAGGCAGAAACTTGCGCACAAAATTGAGTCTGTTAATACCGATGACAGAAGATGCAGAAGACCCACTCGCACGAAGGAGACGGGAGCGCATGGAGGATCAGTTCGACCAAAAGCATGGAGTCGTTCGAAAAGATTTCGAAGTTGGTGACCTGGTATACGCTAAGCAATGGAAGCCACCCAACTTCCACTGGGTGAAAGGAACCGTTATGAGACGCATTGGACGTGTCAATTATGAAGTTATGTTTGGTGATGAGATATGCAAGAAGCATGCAAATCAGCTGCGACATCGAAGCGATAGTGAACAAGTCGCCGTACGACAACAACTTCAACAACAATCCGAAGCTTTGAAGATACTGTTAGATGTTCTGACAGAAGACGACACACTATCGAGGAATGGCAATGCTGCTGAAGGGAGTTCCGAGCAAGCGATCGCGAGCGATGTGCCAGTACCCGTGGATTCAGCGACATCGACGTCGACATCAAGCCACGAGCCCTCCAAGCCAGAGCCAACGCTTCGGAGATCGAGCAGAACGAGAAGACCGGTACAACGGTTCCAACCTAGTCCATAGTATGTTATCGTATGTTTGTTTTATTAGTTTTGTAGTTGCTTAAATGATAGTGATATCTATGTATTAGGGTGATCACTAAAAAATGGGACACCTAGGGAATAAATGTAGATTTCTCAAAAAAGAAAAATGATTAAACTTCCCAATTTTGATAGATGTTAGAATAGATTATTCTCTTTCAGAAAATACCTATATAAGGTCAATTACATAACTAATAATTTTTATAGTGGCTGAAATGCAAAGTTAGTCACTTTGACAAATTATAAACTTCGAGCAGTATCTGCGCAGTGAAAAATGCGAAACCATCCAAAGTATTACTGCTGCAATGCGTGAAGGTACAGTCACCAGATCCACGATGGGTTGCTGGTGTAAACTTTCAAATTCAGGAGATATGGCCATTAGCAGCTTTGAGATGAAAGATACGTGCTATTCAATGCTTTGCAGGTGAACGCATGTTCTACAGGTACCATCTGAAAGAGCTTTTTACGCTCTATCCATCCATATGCAGTTTACCTCACATTTTATCTACCTTCGGAAAATACAGATTGAAACTTGATTTACTGGTTTTTATTGCGCCAAAAAATCGCGATTTTCCAGGTGTTTCGCTTTTTTTACCCAGAAATAGAAAGAAATTCTGTATGTTTCATATACTGTTTAAAAGAGCATGAACAGCTCTTTCGAATGATATATCAATTGCTCCATAACTTTGCGGTATGGCAGCGCAAGAATGAGCGAGGTTCAAAAAACCCTGTTCGAGTTCTTCAGGGCGCCACGCGTAGGGTTGTGGGAGAAGAGCGTTGACGTTTTGCCAGAATAATAGGCGAAGGTCGCTTATATAAGGCTGCGTTCATACTGATTCCCATGTTCTGGAACTGTTCCCGCACAGTTTCAGCACAGTGCGAGAACTGTGCGGGTACAGTTCCAGAACATGGGAATCAGTATGAACGCAGCCTAAGCGACGTTTGCGTTGCAGCCTGCTTGTTGTTGACCGAAACAAAAAATCTCAAAATTTGACAAAAATCAAGCTGTCCCATTTTTTAGTGATCACCCTAATATAATCGATTTTTAGCTGTTCATATTTGTAGTTCATGCTTTTTATCGTAGGCTAGTTTTGTATGACTACCCTACTGGGGGAGGTGTTGTGTTAGTGTTCGTATATGATCAACTGTTTTCCTCATAGTGATCTGCCCTCGCGCATTCGATCTTAGCCTCAGAGTGCGCGGGAAATGAGCGCTATAAAAGGCGCTCACTTATAGTCTTAGTCAGTTCAGTTCAGTTCTACAGTTCGTCTGTTCACTCCTCTGCCTCTCTTATTTTTGGCTGTTCTATTATTTTCTAATAAATATTCTCTATGTTTCCTCGTGTGCTGCCTCAGGACGAAGAGTCGACGTGTCCGACGTGGAGGACACAACAGTGGTGAACTGTTTTTGACACAGACATGCCTTGAGGTTCGCAGTGTTTCGGGTTATTTCATTTCTTTATAATTTTTATTTGTTGCTAGGCAAATCCCAAATCCTACTCTGCTTGGTTTCACCGCGGATGGGCCCTTAAAAAGATGAAGAATCCTGATTTCAAACGCGAATTGAAACTGGATTGCAGGTATGTACCTCTTTTGCTCAGTATGAAACGACCATATCATCACCATTTTTTAGGAATTTCCACACATGGGATCACAGGCCGTAGTTGCAAAATTAGCTAAACTTGGACAAGATGAGGAACTTGAGTAAGTGAACACTATATGTCGCTAACCCGTTTTTTCTAAAAATATGCATTTACAGGTTCTCGAACAAACTTATCGGGGAGAATTTCTCGAACTACTCGGCATGGCATTACATAGTTGTATTGTTGCAAAAAATGCAAAATAGTAAAGCTGGAGAATACAAACTTGATGAAGATACTGTTGCTGCTGAATTGAAGGTAATTTTTCGTGTTGTTGCTCTTGAAGATTCTGTTTCTACTGCGCTTTTTACCAGACTTTCTTGAATACTCTCTTCTTTTCTCTCTTTGAATCTTATAATCTTGTTGTTCAGAAAGTAACTTTGGCATTTTTCACTGACCCGGAAGATCAAAGTGCATGGGTGTACAGTCGATGGCTTCTCGAAATGGGATCAGAAAAGGAGTTCCGTAAGAGTATTTCTGAAGTGATTCTTTTATGTCTGTCGAAATCAACTTTCTTTCCAGTAAGGCCCGATTCGTTGTCACCGGCTGTACCTCTCACAGTGTCTTTCCATGGGAATAATACTACTGTGGTCATGCGTTTGTAAGTTGAAGTTCCTTTCACTGGGATATTGCCCAGTGAATGGAATGAACTGCATATTACCATTGTCTACCGATCTTCTATCATTGATAAATATTATTCAATCATATCATACTGCCCATATGAACTATAATGCCCGTACATGACTGATTTTCGTGAGGAATAACAGAGGAAATTGCTTGAAAATTGGTCGTAAAACACAACCCGAATGCAGATCATACGTGAAGAAAGACGAGATCGGAAATCACAGTGTTTCCTTAGGAAGAGCTCAATGTCCTCACAAGATGCGGTCACTAAAAAATGCTACCAAATAATCGAAATGAAAGCTCCTAACAAAAGTATTCTTTTCCACCAGCCGGCATTCCATTCACAAGCGGTTCCTCACTTCGTGATGGACAGCATTCGCCTTCGTTTGTCTTGTGGACACCTACAGGACGAGAACGCATATAGCAGAAGAAGATCGACAGAAGTAGTGCAAGAACACCAGCTATGGCAAGGCCAGCTATTTCTGAAAAAAGCTGACTTTTTGACAGGTAAGTAGTGCTCCTCTTTATAATTAATTCTCGTTATTTTTGTGGAGAAGGGTATTTATGTGATGTGCAAAGTCACAATGTCAGTTACATACGCACTAGTCATATAAATTGCAGTCTGTTTCATTCGTACTTTCTGGCGCATCCGTTCCACGAACTCTTTGCGCAGCGTTCGAGTGCATTTGATTGGTGCAGTCATCGGTTTCATCAATCAGAAAACAGCAAGCGAGACTCTCGCGCTGCGGATGCGTAAGCGCACACGAAAGGAACACTGCACTTGCGACATACTGTATGCTATTACATTGTTGTTTTCTGTGACAAATTAGCCTTAATTTAGAAGTCAAGAATATATAAAAGCCAGTTCTGGACGAAGGCGCATAGTTTTTGCAGCATTCGCAACCCAGCGGGGCATCTCACCGGTGCATAAAGCAGAGGCTGATGACGGGTAGAGGACTATATGTCGCCGAAAAAGGGCGGTCCCCGCGGTCATTTGCTACAAATACGCACTCTTGTACATGCGCGGACACGCGTTCCTGCAGGGAATCCGCGCCGGACTCTTCCAAATTCGGCGACATATAGTCCCCCACCCGCTGATGACCGCTTGTGCGCGCGTTGCTTGTGCTCTTCTCACTTGGGCATCCGTCTTCGTCCGCTAGCTTTCGGTTATAGGAAGAGACGAACTTACAAGTGACTGAGATTATATGACTCTTGGCATGAGCAATGGCATAAATGTGTATGCCCTCGTCATCTGTTGGTCGTGTACCCGGCTGTCGTACGTCGCTGAATTTTATGATTAAAAAATATAGTGGAACAAATTTATCTGGACTCACATAATATCCATAGAGCAACTTCCAAATCGTACTTTCTCCGAATGTTTTAATCTGGCAGTTTTCGTGTTCTTCAAGGGAGATGACGAGCCAACCTGGAGTCGAGACACGCAATCCGTATAATCTAAAAGGAGATGTAGTAACAGTGTTTTATTGTAAATATCAGCAGGCCTACTTTTATCCAAGAATGTCCAAACGTTGAATGGAAGAACGTCCAGTTGCCTTTAAAATGTATTGACGACTTGTGCCATCACAGCACTGCAAACATGAATATATGTATCTTTTGTAACCCCTCTTGCAATTCAAATGATTTCTCTTTGCTATGATGCGAAAACTGAAACGATTATGCTTCCATGAAGAAACACGATGTCATCAAACACAGACCACAGTAAATCAAACTGTGGTAGGCGTCAATCTTCAAGAGTTTAGAACTAGCGCATATGATTTACTAAACGAATGTCGTACCGCAAACAGATTTAAGAGTACTAAACTAAGTGAGATTTGATACTGACTACTGTCTTATTTCCTTTCGTAACTCTTTAAATTCGTCTTCTGTCAAAGGACCATGACCATTGACGACATGCTTCGGGTTGAACCTGAATATGGTAAGCATACGGTTTTCAAAAAAAAAACGGTATATTCAAGAAAGAATCATCTTACCCATTCAATAACCCACTAAAAACGTTCCAGCACGGTCTTCAAATTTTTATTATTTCACTAGGGCAATTAGGAGACAAGTTTTGATCTAAAAAACTTTTTGAAATCAGCTAAAACTGTCGGAGAACTCACCCTTCAGGCCAAACACGTCAGAATCTTCCGTGTTATTGTATAGTGGTAAGTTCCCAGGCACGTCGGTTACTGATTCAATATGAAAAAAGCACTTGCATGTTCCACAGCTTACATGAGCATGGAGTGAAATATGCTAAAAACGTCTTGTGAGAGGATAATATTAAAAAATTGGAGGGGGGACTACGAAGAAAGATAATTAACGCACTCAACTCACTTTATAAGAAACTATCCGAGTGTCATATCAAGTATCAACTCATCTATGCTCATGTCGAACACCCATCTGAGCCTCCCGATAAAGTTGTTCAGAAGAGGTATTGCACTTTAATATGAAGTCCTGAAAACAAAAACCTCTGCAACATCTCTAGAAAAGACTCTCTAAAAATGAGCAAGTGCCAAAAATGCTTCTTTTTGCCTTTTGAGAAATCCTTTTTTGGAGGCTAAGAAATCAGTGCAAATCAGTTTTGTATCAAAAATAATTAGTCTATTCAAAGGGTATGATCAACTCTTCTCAATGATGCACGCATTTTGCCGAAAATCAACCGTTCCACAAAGAGATGAAATTTCATCTATATCGACGTGCAGTAGCGTTCTCTTTTTCTAAGATACAGAAGAAAATTTTTCCGTATTCCATAATCATTCAGGCCAACCCTTCGTCATCTGCTGCGTTAATAAACCTATTCTGAAAGAAGGCCTACGAGGCAATCCTCTCAAGGATTCTCGACTAAGCCCAGCCTCCTTATGGATTACATCTTGATTTTCCCTTCCTTTCCTAACATATGCATATCCGTCCCTATGAGCAAAATACTCGGCCATTCGATCACGCTGCCTGGGGGCGTTGTCTGTTATGAGGACATAAGACACAGAAGAAGACCCAGAAGACACATTTTCATCAGCAATTGAGTCCGCTTGGATATCCTATATCCCTGAGTAATGCCTCCTGACTCATACGCTGGGCTAGAAGATTATGTGACACCTGAATACTACAATGTAACTGAAGCACATAAGATTATAGCCGCTTACACAGGCCCTATGAACGAGAAGCTTCAAGTTCTCGACTGACCCCAAGTGCTCGATTGGTCCTGAAACCTGGCGGTAATAATTCCGAAAGCATTTTCCACAATACGTCTCGCCTTGAAATTCACAGAAACACTTGCCGCCATCAAATCGCATAAACTGTTGCTACACACCGATTAGAACATTCATTGAAATGCAATTTTTTCCATCAGGGAAGTCCTCGGCCTGTTAGAATGGCCTTTGCATGCACGTCGATTGATGGAAACCTACCGTCAGCTAACAGATTATATTCTACATTACCGCGCCTCCTAGAGGTGCTGGGTATGAAAGGAAATTTTTTGAGCTCTAAGGAATGTTTATTGACAAGCATGAATATCATGAAATGGGATCTGACAACTGCATCTGCTACATACCCGCTCGGAATTCTCCCCTCTTCCTCCATAATCAAGTAGTAGTATGCGGTAATTTGAATCAACCCGTATTAAATGCACAAAGAGAGATGCCCTCTGAAACTGAAATAACTGCTACGAAGGTGTTGGGAGCTTTAACTTCCGTTGGTCGGAAATGATGTTCCAGAATAACATCTGAAAACTTTGCGCGCATATTGAGTGCTTCCCGTTATTGATAGCTCCCATTCCGAGGGATTAGCCCCAGAAGTTTTAAAAACCTCACTTTGTGCTCAAGTTTCTGACATGGGTTGGGAAACATTTCCGACGAGAATTCTTGAGTTGTTTTTGATGTACCGGATACAAAATATAAACAGATAGTATCCCCAATGATAGCATGGCACACCTCGTAGACAATCGCTGCTACAGTTATAAGTCTGATTTCGTGTGTGCAGGAATGCAAGCTACGTCCGTGGCCATCGATATAGATTTCGGAGACAATCGTCATGATTTGAGCCTAATTACAGACAAGTATCTGCCGTAGACAGATTGCTATCCTGTGCTTGATGTCGATTTGAAAACGATTACTTTTTTTCATGCTTCAATAGCCCACATAAACAATCACACATCATCTTGAACTCCGCACGAGTGCATCTTGTATATTCGTGGAACAGGGTTTCATTCAAGTCATCAAAATATCCTCCGAATATGGAGATTCTGGTAACGACTTGCGATAAGTGCATCCGGTTCATGCAAGTCGATCTTTTTCTCCTTTGTCCAACAGTCTTCATTAAATTCAATGTCATCGCAAAAATATGCGACACAATCGCATATTGTTATATGTATTGTTGTATATATTATTGTGTATTATTATTATTATTATTATTATTACTATTATTATTATTATTATTATTATTATTATTATTATTATTATCATTATTATTATTATTATTATTATTATTATTATTATTATTATTATTATTATTATTATTATTATTATTATTATTATTATTATTATTATTATTATTATTATTATTATTATTATTATTATTATTATTATTATTATTATTATTATTATTATTATTATTATTATTATTATTATTTCTAAGCGTGGTCTAGGCTATTCATCATGATGAACACTGAATAGCTGAAGAATACTTAATAATAATAAAGATAATAATAATAATAATAATAATAATAATAATAATAATAATAATAATAATAATAATAATAATAATAATAATAATAATAAAGATAATAATAATAATAATAATAATAATAATCAATAATAATATTAGGTCGTTCCGAAAGTTCTTTCCGTTTTTTTCAACATATCATAAAAACACGTGGAATAGAGATGGGGAAAAGTTTCAGGCACTGTCCGACGCAGCTTTTCTTCCTCTTTTCAACTGTCATACTAGTGTACCGCTTGCTATTGTGGTCAGTGAGATATTGGCCGAAATTTCGGACCTATGGTTTTTACCATGTCCAAATTTAGCAATTTTTCACTATCTTCTTAACTTTTGGAGAAGCTCTAATAGCAGTCGGATAGAGTGAACAAAGTGCAATGCAATGCAATTTTTTGGCAATTTCAGCCGGCTTCTCATTATTTTTTTCGATAACTTCTTCAGAAGTCTTCACTTTTTCGAAGTCACAAAACACACAAACGCTCTGAACATCAACAAATCTTCGGTTTTCGAAACTTTCGAAGTCGTTTATGATTGTACACTATTTTTACAAAGTAACTGAGCGTTTACCGCTTCGAAATATAAGATTTTGCATTGCACGGATGCATCATGAGGCGGGCTCAAAATCAAGATTTATGGAAATTTTATCGCCAAAGACCCCACAAACTAATAATAGAAAGCATCATCAGAAAGAGGAGAAAAAGCTGCATCGAATGGCACCTTAGTTGTGCGCCGTTTTATGTTCTGTGGCTTTTGGCATCCCCAAAAGTGGAATTTGATAGCATCAGAAAAATAATTCTAAAAATGTTCTGAGGCTAGCTATAGATGCCGAAAAATTGCATAAAATTGCACTTTGTTTACTTTATCCGACTGCTATCAAAGCTTTTCCAAAAGTCAAAAAAGAAGATAGTGAAAAATTGCCAAATTGGACATGGTAAAGACCATAGGTCCGAAATTTCGGCCATTATCTCACGGACCACAAGAGCGAGCGGCACACTAGTATGACAGTTGAAAAGAGGAAGAAAAGCTGCGTCGAATAGTTCCTGAATCGTTTCCCTATCTTCATTCCACGTATTTTTGTGATAAGTTGAAAAAACGGAAAGAATTTTCGGAACGACCTAATAATAATAATAATAATAATAATAATAATAATAATAATAATAATAATAATAATAATAATAATAATAATAATAATAACAATAATGATAATGATAATGATAATAATAATAATAATAATAATAATAATAATAATAATAATAATAATAGTAATAATAATAATAATTGTTGATGATTTCTGCATCATCAACCATTGATGAACTCTATATTCTAGATAGCCTACGGAATACCCGTAGGCTAAATTGTGAGCTACTCACTCTTGAGTATCTAATCACTCAAGAGTGAGTGGTACCCGTGCGCCAGGAGTGTAGCCAATCGGCGGCACCTCCTTTCAAGCACCAACTCGTGTACATTGTACCTTTTACTCGGTTCAGCTCCGCCTTCCTTCCTATATAAGGAGCCTCCGAATGTATTAGAGGTTGCTCCCCGGTCCACACCGGGACACCTCACTCTTCTTCACGACTAACCTACGCCCGTGCGAATAAATCTATATTCCACAACCTCGTCTTCCCCTAATCACTTGGTACCCACCAAATTGGTGCATCGGCCAGTGATTTTCCTTGCATTTCTCGGCGAATCCTCCTAAGGACACGAAAAATCAAGGCCTAAGACCCGCGTGGCAGGCTCTACTATAGCCAATATTCGACTCTCGTGATTGCTGGTCCATCAGTACTCTGCGTTGATACCACTGCTTGTTGTCAGGTCCTATCCACAACTTAGTAGAGGTTTCTAGCTAACTGACTGGTTCACCACAGTTAGCGACAGACTCCTCGCACTCTCGGCTACTAATTAGCCAATATTCGACACTAGTGATTGTTGGTCCACCACTTTCACTAATACGAGTCTTGCTAAGCTATCAGGTCATATCCATAGCTTAGCAGAGGTTTTCTAACTAACTGACTGGTTCAACACAGTTAGTACAAGAACTCCTCGAAACTTTTGGCTTTCCTAAAGTCAAAAAAGGACTCTGTGATTGCTGGTTCACCACTTTCACAAACAAGAGTCATCTTGCGAAGCTATCAGGTCATATCCATAGCCTAGCAAAGAGGTTTTTCTAGCTAACTGACTGGTCCACCACAGTTAGCAACAGAAATCCTCGAACTTTTTTGGCCTCAACCAGCCAAAAAGACTCTGTGATTGTTGGTTCACCACTTTCACAAACAAGAGTCATCTTGCGAAGCTATCAGGTCATATCCATAGCGTAGCAAAGAGGTTTTTCTAGCCAACTGACTGGTCCACCACAGTTAGCAACAGAAATCCTCGAACTTTTTTGGCTTCCATTAGCCAAAACACTCTGTGATTGTTGGTTCATCCACTTTCACAACGAGTTTCATCTTGCGAAGCTATCAGGTCATATCCATAGCTTAGCAAGGAGATTTTCTAGCTGACTGACTGGTCCATCCACAGTTAGCAAAGAAATCTCAACTTTCCAAGCTCATTCACGATTGGTTCACCGATCTTGAGCTTTGGATCGTTACATTTACGGGACAGGTTCTAACACCTTACCGTCCAGTACAGCGTACAAGCCAACCAGGCGCGCTTGCTGACAGCTAGTAGACGCTCGGCACCCACTTGCCAGCTCACTAGAAAGCTTCCTTGCAACCAGTAAGGACAGCTATCGTATCGAGGCCAGCCCTGCTGTCGCCCTCAAGCCAAAGCGATCAACACAAGGAGGATACACACTTCCAAATTGTAACGCTTGGAATTACCACACCAGCGCACGACTCTACCCAGTGCAGCAGAAAAGAAAATGGCATCGCTCCAGCTTTTCAAGATCAGGATTAACAACGCCTGCAAACTCGTGAAATCCCACGAGTCACAAATCGAAAATATTGATGTCCCCTTCACATTCCCCACACTGAAAGAAGAATGTGAACAGTACATAAAAGAGAAAATGGGACTGATAACCAATCTTCTCAACTCTCTACACAACGCAGTGAAGCTTCAAGAGACGCAAATCAACTCCGCGATTGAGTACATTAGCGCACGGAATGAGGAAAAAGAAAGAGACAAACTGATGATGGAGCTCAGCAAGCACTTAGAGATGGAGTCACTTGACCTGGAAGTGATTGTAGTGCAGGGACAAGGATAGAGTTCCGGCAGCATGAACTGAAAGAACAAGACGCACTTCTGCACTGCGATGCTCCCAGCATACCGAGTCAACCAAGTTAATGAAAGGCAGATCAACATTCGGAAACCTCTGCTGGAAATCCCTACGTTCTCAGGCAATTTCCGAGAATTTAACAGCTTCTGGACCGTCTTCGAATCTCTTATCCACACTGACGAGGAGCTATCGGATACAGACAAATTCCTCTTTCTGAAGCAAGCACTGAAAGGGAAAGCAGCAGCCACTTTGAGCTGCATACCCGTCATTGAAGAAAAGTATGAAACAGCGATAGATATCCTGAAAAAACATTTTGATCGCTCTGCCAACATGGCAGACATACTCATAAACGAGATCGAAAAACTTCCGAGGGCGTCAGATAACCCGAAAAGTTGCCGAGAAACCTTTGAAGCAATCAATTCGAGAATCATTCATCTTGAACAAACGGGAGCAAAGATGAACGCAGACAGACTTTGGCGTCGAGTGATCTTCTCCAAATTTCCCGAATCCATCTGTACAACCGCCATCCAAAAAGAAGCAATACAAGATGATCCATTTGATGTTAGCGAAATCCTGAATACCATCGACAGCATCATTTCACTGCGAGAGACGATTTTGCTAACAACGGAAACTCTCTTTCCAACCAACT